TGCTTCTTTACCCATTCATTTCCAGAAGGCAGCTCAGAGGCAGAGGAGGACACGGTTCTTGCCCACCCGGACGTGGTTCGTCATTTTTAGAGAAATGAGCACCTCAGAGTCCTGCGCTAAGCACACAGTAGCCACCCACCCTGTGGCAGGTTGGGGGCCGGAGGACAGAGGTGAGTGAGAGGCCAGGGAGAGCCCTGGCCACTGGAGAGAGGAGGTTCGCACTCGGCTACTGTGCAGGGCTGCACACCCGGCCACCGCCCAGCAAGCCGTTGTTGGGGTCTGAGCAGAAAAATGCAACATAAAAACCTGTAAATTCGTCTCTTTTTCTTTCCTTTGATACCATGCAAGAAAGCTTGGTACCATAAAAGACATGCATAAGTATTTTTTAATATTAATACCCCATTAATATTCACTCATTAAAAAATTGGGGTCAGAGCAATTAGATGAAGAAATAAAACAAATAAGGATAGTAAAGGGAGAAGTTTAATGATCGTTATTTGCCTTTGACATGATATTCTACATACAAGACTCCAAAAACTCCACCAAAAGACTTTTAGATCTATTAAACAAATTCAGTAGCATAGGTGGAAACAAAGTCAATGCTCAAAAATCAATAGCCTTCCTGCACACAAATAACAAACTCACTGAGAGAGAAATCAGGGAAACAACACCTTTCACCATAGCATCCAAAAAATTACATACCTAGGAATCAGTCTGATGAAGGAAACAAAGACCTCTACATTGAAAATTTTGGTACTCCAAAAAAGGAGATCAAAGAGGATATCAGGGGCTGGGGATTTAGCTCAGCGGCAGAAGCGCTTGCCTGGCAAGTGCAAGGTCATGAGTTCGGTTCCTGGTACCGGAGAAAAACCAAAAAAAACCAAACAAACAAAGATGATATCAGAAAATGAAATATATCCCTTGCTCTTGGGTAAGAAGAACCAATATAGTGAAAATGGCTACCTGGGTGTGGTGGTGCACTCCTATAATCCCAGCACTGGGAAGGCTGAGGCAGGAGGATTGTTGCAAGTTTGAGAGCAGCCTGGGCTACAAAGTGAGCTCCAGGCCAGCCTGAACTGCATAGTGAGACCCTGTCTCAAAAAGACAAGGAAAAAAAAAAAAAAAAAGAATATGGTCATACTCCCCAAATTATTAAACAGATTTAATGCAATCTCTTTCAAAATCTCAAGAGCATATCTCATGGAATTAGAGAACATAATTCTAAAATTCATTTGGAGCCAGAAGAGACCTGGAATAGCAAAGATAATTCTGGGAAACAAAGGCAAGCCAGGGAGCATCACAGTCCCTGACTTGAAGTTATACTACAAAGCTGCTGTGATGAAAACATGGTACTGGCAAAAACACAGACTTAAGGATCAATGGAACAGATTAAAGGATATAGATACAAGTTCAGACATACTCAGCCACCTTATCATTGCAAAAGAGCCAAACATCTTCACTGGAAGAAAGATAGCCTCTTGAATAAGTGGTGCTGGAAAAACTGGCTTTCCACATGCTAGAGATTAGATTTATATCTTTCACTATGCCTTTGCCATGCACTAAACTAAAATCAATTTGAGTCAAAGCTATAAATATTAAGGCAGAAACACTAAATTGCTGGAAGATAAAATAGACAGAACTCAAAGACATTGGTGTAGGTAAAGACTTTATGAATAAAACCCCAATCACACAGGAACTATCACAATCAACAATTGGGATCTCATCTTACTATAAAGCTTTTGCACAGCAAAAGAAACCCCAACAGAGTGAAGAGACAGCCCACACTGTGGGAAAAAATTCTGCCAGCTGTTCCTCAGATAAAGGATTACTATTAAGAACATATAAAGAACTCCAAAAAATTAGACCCTCCAAATTTAAAGACCCAGTCCAAAAATGGGCATCTGAAATGAATAGACACTTCTCACATGAAGAAATAGGAAGGGCAAATAAATATATGAAAAAATGTTCAACAACACTTGTCATTTGAGAGATGCAAATTAAAAAAATGCTGAGATTCCATCTTGCCCCAGAAAGCATGGCTATTATCAAGAAATCAACCAATAACAAATGCTGATGGGGATGCGGGGCAAAAGGACCCCTTCTCCACTGCTGGTGGGGGTATAGTGTGGTGCAACCACTGTGGAAATCAGTGTGCAGATTCCTCAGAAAATTAGGAGTAGCCAGGTATGGTGGCACACGCCTGTAATCCCAGCACTTGGGAGGCTGAGGCAGGAAGATCATTGTGAGTTTAAGACCAGCCTGGGCTACAAAGTGAGCTCAAGCCCAGCCTGAACTGCACAGTGAGACTCTGTCCCCTAAAGACAAAAAGAAAAAGAAAGAAAGAAAGAAAGAAAGAAAGAAAGAAAGAAAGAAAGAAAGAAAGAAAGAAAGAAAGAAAGAAAAGAAAGAAAGAAAAAGAAAATTAAGAGTAGCGGTTCCATCTGACTCAGCTATTCCCCTTCTTGGCATCTTTCCCAAAGAATTAAAAGCATCATACCTCAGCGATATATGCACACCCACGTTTATAGCAGCATAGTGTGTAGTAGCCAAATCTGGAACACAGCCCAAATGCCCATCAACCGATGAATGGAAAAAGATTTGGGCATTTTTATACAATGGAGTCCTACTCTGCCATCAGGGAGGATAAGCCTGGGACATTTCTAGTTAAATGGATGCACCTTGAGACCATACTTAAGTGAAATAAATCAGACACATGTGTAAATATCATATGTTTCTCTGATACGAGAAACTGAAAGTGTAACTACATGATAGAATGCATAATAGATAGTGGGAAAAGGGAAGATAATGCTCAAATGAGAAGGGGAATGGTGGTGGGGGAGGAGTTGAGAGAGAGAAGGGACAAAAAGATAAAGGAGGAAAAACGGAAATAAAGCCTTTGTAAGAAAAATTAAACTCTCAGGGTTTGGAGTATGTGTGTGTGTGTGAGTGTGTGTGTGTGCACGCGCACACGCCCGGGCACATGTGTGTTGCAGTGGCTCAAACCCAGGTCTTTTACATGATAGGCAAGCACTCTATTTCTAAGCTGCACTCCTAGCCCCCTACTGTCAGTTTTGAAAAAGACCAAAAAAATACATGCAGAATTAGATAACAAACACTTATGTGAGAATCCTCCTGCAAAATTAAATTTCATATTTTTGTTTCATATTTTAAGAAAGATCACTACTTCATATTTTTGTTTCATATTTTAAGAAAGATCACCGGGTGGAGGCCCTTGGTACTCTGCCCAGCAGAGGCTCCTGGCATCATGGGAGTGGGGCGGTCTACCAATCACTTCGTGCTTTTCCTTTGGGGCATGAAGTGCGCTCATTCTTGCCTTTCCCCTTGAAGTGGGGTTTGGCCACATGGCTTGTTCTGGCCCGGGAGAGGATTTGAGATACAGGGTGTGTTTGTTACTTTGCTCGCCTCTGAGACAGGATATCCAACATCCATAACTTAAAGTGTAACAGAGAATGCCCCCCGCCAGCCAGGATACTTCAGTTTCTTAGTTCCTGTTTCAGTTCCGGTTGCTCCTGTCTCTTAGAAACTGCTGGTCACCGTGATGCACAGCTGGTCACTATGATGCACACTGTGTAAACCAATCCCTGATTGGCAGGCCATTCTGCCTCTGTACTTCCTGCTTGCTTATCCCATATAAGCCTTAGACCACCAGAGA